TGCTCAGATACAGTGAGACACACACACACACTCACTCACTCACTTGTGGGCAGCAGATGTCTGTGACTCTATGACACACTCTATGACACCTGTGACTGTTTCCCATGATGCAGCGGTTCCGTACGGAGGCAAGAAGAAGGCGTGGTGTTGGGCCTCGTACCTGGAGCAGGAGAGAGCCGTCGCTGCCCCCAGTAAACTTTTCAAAGAGGTGAGACAACACACGCTAGCATTCAGTGTCACTGTTATGAAAGAGCACAACCTTTGATTCCACTTTGATACAGACATGAATATCTAGTGATGCACCAGTGTAGAGTTTTTGTTTATTATATTTTTTAGGGCTGTCAAGCGATTACAAATTTTAATCTAATTAATTACGTATAAAATTTGGTTGAGAAATTACACCCAAAAGATAATTTAAAGTCATTATTGTGTCAAATGGGAAAAGGATCAAACAGACATTATAAAAAGAAGCTTTAGAAATAAGTATTCTATTTGATTCAACATGGAATTTTTTGCACATAAACGTTTAGGCAACGATGGCCTTGATTTTATTTCAGAAGCTGCATCTGACTTCATATTTGGAAATATTTGCAGACCATTTACTGCAGCTCCAAAACAGTTTGGTTACCAACACTAAATATCGTGTTTTATGATTTGCAAAAGAAAAAAAGCCATACAGGTTTGAAATGACAGGAGTGAGGAGGAAATTATGACAGAATTTTCATTTTTGGGTGAACTATCCCTTTAATGTTTTTTTTTTGTTTGTTTGTTTTCTTTTTTTTGTAATTGATATTTTTACAAAATAATACTTTAAATAAGAAACTGCCAGCAGGTGGTGGTTGGGTCTTGATTAATGAGTAAGTCGCTGAGTAATTCATTCATTTGATTTGTTCAAACAGCTGATTCATTCAGGAATGAACTAAATGACTCTCTTTATGAATGGGCCTTTGAAGTTTTATTCACTCAATTCATTCAAAACGTGGATTCATTTACAAACGAAACACCATTGTTTGCTACTTGGAGACACACAACAGTTCTGCTGTGGCTTTATGGGTAATATTTTAATTGAAAAAAATTGAGCAAAAGCAGACAATATGGTGTCTAAAATATAACACAATAGTAACTTATTTATTGAACTTGTATATAATCAATGTCACATTTGCACTCGTGTTATTCGGAACACATTGCGCTCATTGCTAGTATTGCATTGTTTAACTATATTGTATGATATAAATATGAGACAAAAACTCATACAGGGGTGTTTTTGCCCCAATCTCTTGAATTTTAGAGGCATATATAGGCTACATCACGCAGTGAGCTGTTGACCTTCATCATGTCCGTCATCAATTAATTGTATGAAATGTAATAAGATGACCTACTTAGGTCTGGGTGTGGTGGGCGCGTTAATTTTGTTAATAATTCATCATCATCTGTCCACAAAAATGTTGGAAATTATGCTTCCAAAAAGCATTTTAAACTCACAGCACTTACAGAGATGGAGTTCACTGCATTGAGTATGAGCAAGATCATGAGCTGATGGCACTTTAAAACATGCATTTAGTATACTACAGTATATGCTTATTTAAATAAATCACATTTGATAAGTGCACAAACCCATATCACGATTTCGATTTTTAGTTCGATTATTTTACGCCAAAGCAATGGCGTAAAATACAACATTAGTGATCATTTATGATATTATGAGGTGTAAATATATTTTCGATCCATTATGAAACTGTGGCAGGACAGATTAGAGTAATTAATGGGAAACACTGTCTAATATTTACAATACTTGGATCCTAATATCCATCTGTGTATATCAGCAAGGCTGAATAACAGTTAAATGTGTCTTTCCACATAATTACAGATATTCTTGTTGATGTATCTATTTCAGTTGTTGCACATTTCTATCTGTTCCTGAATGATCAGTGAATTTGAACAAATTGGTTGAGTGAATGATTCAATGACTCACTCAAGACAGTCTCTTGCTGCCATGTAACTTGCAGAAAGAATTATGTAATTATTATGACGTTGGCCATAACTGTATATCTAGTGGCTAACAATGGCTTTTGTCAATACAGACACAAAGCAGGGTTAAGATAATAGTAATCGAACACAATTTCATTCCAGCGAATGAACACTAGTTTTCCCTTTGAATTAAGCTGATTTTTCTGAGCCAATTGGCAGATATCTGTTCTTGTTTTATTCATAAACACACTTTGTTTTGATCATTTTCACAGAAAGCAAGACTGCTTATCTCTTAATTCTTCATTTAAGAATCTTTAGACACTCGCACTGGAAGACAAGACACAAATACTGAGGAACAGCACTTTTTTGCAGTGTGTTCACAGGGTAGAGTAAAAGTTATTTCTGTATTCTAGTGGCTGAGACCACAGCTGTTTAAGCCATACGTTTTTTTTCTCTCTAAAATTAATTAAAAATTAATGAAGATCAATTGGGACTTGGTTGCTAATACACATCGTTGTCTGCTCACCTAGACATCTACATTTAGAGACCATATTAACATATCTTGTTCCCTTCAATTTATTCCTTCAATTTTCTGTACTTCGTCTTAAAAAGTCTTACATTTACCTTCATAAACCTGCAGAAACCCTATAATAAATGTGCAAAGTTATCACAAATCTTGTTTTTCTTTTGTCATTATGGAGTATGAAGTGTAAACTGGTGTGAATTTTTTGTGTGTGAGAGTGTGTGAGTGAGTGAGTGAGTGAGTGAGTGAGTGAGTGAGTGAGTGCG